TTTAGCCACTTCATAAGACATAGAAACATCGTTATATGTCTAAAGGAATTGAAACTTTCAGATAACGATGTTTCTATGTCTTATGAAGTGGTCTAAACGAATTGAAACTTTCATATAACGATGTTTCTATGTCTTATGAAGTGGTCTAAACGAATGGAAACCTTCATATAACGATGTTTCTATGTCTTATGAAGTGGTCTAAACGAATTGAAACTTTCAGATAACGATGTTTCTATGTCTTATGAAGTGGTCTACTTATTAAACAACCTTACTCCTTATTTATATTAAATTTTCAACACCACTTATTTAATTTCACCTATCTATCTAGCTATATTATATTTGTTTATCTCTTTCTCTAACTCTGTAATTGTCCATCTTTATATATATTTATCTGTTTATCAGCCTACCTTACTTGCTGTCTGTTTGATTATGTATCTGTCTAACAAGCAGCTTATATATCTATCTGTTTGTGTTACTTATCTGCCTTTCTATTAGTCTACGTAACTTGTTGCTTGTCTGTTTATTTATCTGTATATTTATTAGTCTAGCTACCTTGCTATCTTTCTGTTTAACTGTTTGTCTACCAGTCTTCTTCCTTCCATTGCTGTCTGTCTGTATATTTATCTGTCTTTCTATCAATCAAACTATTTTAGTGTCTGTCTGTATATTTATTTGTCTATCTAATTACTACAGACATTTTGAGAAACAGCTAAAATAATTTGTATATTAAAAACACATGGACTTTAGTAACCCTAAATATGACTACTCATGATGGAACTTTAATATCTCTAAATATGACCACTTATGATTGTATTTTAATATCTCTAAATATGACTACTCATGAATGTATTTTAATATCCCTAAATATGACTACTCATGATTGAACTTTAATATCCCTAAATATGACTACTCATGACTGTATTTTAATATCCCTAAATATGACTACTCATGAATGTACTTTAATATCCCTAAATATGACTACTCATGAATGTACTTTAATATCCCTAAATATGACTACTCATGATTGAACTTTAATATCTCTAAATACGACTACTCATGAATGTACTTTAATATCCCTAAATATGACTACTCATGATCGAACTTTAATATCCCTAAATATGACTACTCATGAATGTACTTTAATATCCCTAAATATGACTACTCATGATCGAACTTT